TCATCATCATCTCCCGAGTTTTCTCATCTCCCATCAGCCGTGTTTCTGCATAATTCGGTGACTTGAACATTGTTCAGGACAGGGGAACATGGCCGTACTATGTAAATTAAACATTTGTACCCTGGTTATAATAAACTATGTATCTTGGAAACAGTTTTTGTATAAGTAATTTTTTGTTTAAAAAATAAAAATTGTCGCAATTTGTTGTAAAAAAATCAAGTTAAGAACATAATAAATAATATATTGATAGTAAAATCATTTTTCAAATTGGACTTTTGAATTGTAACCGATATTCCACATATTCTTATACTGGTAAAATTTTATTTCAATTATGAAATCCGCAGATAATGTGAAGGGATCTTTATTTTTTTTTTATTCTGTGTATATGTAAGTAAGTAATTTATTTATTTTAGTGACGTGTGTAAACATATTTTACAAATCTAATTTTACAACATATTAAATACACCCGGCCCAATGGGCCTATAAGTCACCTCCAATAAACATAAAATATTTACATAAAGTAATAAGTGTCCTCATTGGCTTTAAAGCATATTTGAATGAAATGAAGTGTCTTCTGCATAATAGAAACACGGACATAATATGAATAAAGTCCCAAACAGAACAGTTATTCCATAAGAGCAGATAATGAATAAAAAGTTTTTCTAATATAAGTACTGAGCTTTCAACACACATACATTTATTTAATTACACTTGTCAAACTAAAATATATGATAAATTTTACTATTAATTATCAATCCTTTATTAAAACAATTTAATATTTTAGAATTTTGACAATTCGACTAAAATAAAAAGAAATATAAAAAGTACATTCTCTAGAGAAGTTATTTTTTATTTTTATTTTCATGTTTTACCCGCTTATTGTTGTTGTTACAAAAATTTGTGTAATTTATGAATATTTCTTAACGCTTCTTAAACGTCTTTATTTATGAATATTTCTTAGCGCTTCTTAAGGTAGCTCGCTACTTTCCGACCTAAATTTGACAACATCTCAGATCTTGATGATTTTTGGTATACAGACATGTAGATATGTAAGCTTTACTTCTGCAGCATTATTTTATAAATAAACAGCGTTACTATGACGTCAAAACGCCCTCTATGGGTGGCGGCGAAATTGCGTCTTTTTTGTCAATAAACCGGTCTGTTCTTATCAATTTTCATCCGATTTCCTTCATTTTAATTTTATAATGTTCAGTAAATGTATGTCTTTGTAACGATGTCTTTCTTGAACATTTGCTTAATACTCTGCGATTCTACGTTATTTTCCCTCACGTTCTGACGTCCATATTTGATGCAAATATCGCGCGATATCGCAATAAATATTGTGAAATAATAAAAAATCAACACGGTGAATTTTGCTATAATTTTTTTAACATGTAGTGAAGTCATAAAAGAAAATATTTATGCAATAAAAATATAGGGTCAACGCGTAAGATATTTTGCTATTACTATTTGAATATAAAATAAAGGGTGAGTAAAACGTAATGATTTTGGTGACGTCAAATATTTTTCTTAAGGAAATTTTCACGACTTTTTCGATAAACATCATACTGACAGGAATAAAAATGTGTGAAAACCATCAACAACAATAGTATTTAGACATGTTCCGTAAAAATGTTTTTTTAAAAGTCCTGTCAGATGCCTGCATTTCGATGAATATCTTCAATTATATACATGTACCATAAATCAGGGTATAACTGTCTGCAAAAGTTGGTATCAATCTCTGAAAAACTGCAACGAATGGATATAAATACCTCGAGGACTGAAAGACAATTCAGAATATTGAAAGATATAATTAAAAGGCCACCTAAGTGGAAATTACAAAAACATAAATTTTGCAAAGAATGTCAGAAAAAAAGAATGAAAAGGCTGGTGCAGTCGCAATGTCATCACGTTATGTGTATGTCGGTACAACATAAACTTTCATGTTATCATATGTAACAATTTTGAATTCTATATATCAGTTAGTACGAACAGAGGCATAGATAACATCTATGTCTCTGGTAGGAAATGAATCAAAATTACGTTTCAAAAATATATGATCAACTGGAAGTAGCAAAGATTTGTACGTAAGTCATGATTCACTGATAGTCTTAATTATATTATAAAATCTAGCAGACATTTAATTCAAAATTTTCTACACGTATAAAAATTTATTTATTAACAGCCATCAGTTATTCTATTTTCTCTCGCAGCTAAATACCCTGCACTAAGCGTGAGACTCAGATTTAAAGCAGGAATCACGCTCTCGTGCTATGGCTTTAATTTCTCACGTATTTCACATAATTACAGATATTCTTATTTATTTTAAACTAGTTGACTCGCGGTATGCGTTTACTAGCGCATCTTTGAGGCGACCTGAAGCCGTGATCATATCTCGATTAGAAGCGAAAGATCCGTTGATTTATTTTGTATGTTCAGAAGCGGAGAATTTTGCATATTAAATACAGATTCCCTTGTATTGAAGGCGATTATGTAGGATTCTCAATTTGTGTGACTATGGTTGTGGGAGAAGCTCGTTTTTTGTCTGCACATAATGCAGAGTTATGTAGAGCCTATGAAAATAATGAACTATGCATTTTATGTTTTATATCTTCTTTTTTATAATATTGGGTTTAACGCCGCTTTCAACAGTATTTCAATTATAGCGGAGGGAATTTAACGAAACCAGTGTTTCTAACAGTATCAACTTCTCTTTGGAAATGAATGACAGGAGTCCGAGGTGGCCCTTGAAACATTTCATACACAGTAAACAATTCTAAAGGATAATCTATTAGTACAATACGCAATCGTGTCTCGAATCCATGCCTTCCGAATTCAGCGTAAAAACCACTTTACCGATTACAACGTGGCAACAGAAGAATATTCAAAGTTAAAAACCTGATTATGATCTCCCTTAATAAGGAAGAAGTCCATTTTATTGCTAACATCATAAACACGTGTTTTTGGTGTGTGTGTTTTGAGGTTATTTTTTTTCTTGTGTTTTAATTTTTGTTTTAAAGCAAACTTTATTGTATTAAAAAATGAACAAGATAACGTCAACATAATACATTATTCGTATTCAGTGGTAACAAAAGTTGCACAAGTTATTTAATAATTATATTTTGTATTTAAATAAAATATACAGTATAACCTTTTCATAGAAATGCCCTTTTTTCCTAGAGTGGTTGCTCTACAGAGGTATAATGTAGTGGAACTCTTTAGAAATAAATAATAGTTTGAGGGCCGCTATGTTATACTGTAATGAAAAAGCGGTAATGAATCCGAGTTGAGAAATGGTTATATTGGGTGTTTCACATTCGAGTCTGCAGTTGCGAATATGCTTATATATTTTTTTTATTCAGTATGATTTTGCTTCTAAAATAGTTTATAATTTGTCACATAAGTGCTCATTTTCTAATTATCATGACATTTTAATTAGATTATAATTATATAATCTATGTATTGCACAGACTTAAAAATGGTAAGCAAAAATAAAAATAAAATAAAGGTTTTTGTTTCTTGTACAGTTTGTTTTAAATATTCTTAAAGGGACTCAACTGAGGTTGAAAAGCCAAACACATAACATTTGAATTTCTTACATAAATGAGCTGGGGCACTTTGAACAGAAATATATGCGAAGATAGTTAAGAAATAAACTTTGAAATAAATTGAAAATCGTATTTTTATGCTTTTGTTAGCCCGATTTTGGTGAAAAGCGTTTAAACGCTTTTCATTTTGAATGATTATTCTGGAAAAACGAAGTGCGCGAATGCTCTAAAATTTTGCACAAAGATTAATGGTCTCAACCTACATCAAATGGTACATTTATCTGGAAAAAAATATTTTTAGTTCCATCATGTCAAAAAACCTCAGTGGAGTCCCTTTAACATATTTGAATATTATATCTGAATTTTATTTATTACTTATTTCGGCACATTTGTATGCATATCTATTTTAATTGTATTTTTACGATGTGTTTTGACACCGAGGCTCGTCTGTCTTTATGTGATTTTATGAAAGTGTTTAAAGGCTGAATGTAACGTAAAATAAATATTCTACGGGTATAAGCCAAACGACCTAAAATTCTTACTTCATTTATACGGCAATATGTGAATCTTATTTTTTGCGCTGGAACTAGTTAATTCATATAATAATATAACACTTTAACAACATTACATTATAAAATTAGAATTAAAAGATGTATGAGACTGTGTCCTGCAAATTAGGAAAGTATTTAAAAAGGCATTGTCGGATTAAACATTGTAAATGTGCTCATCTAGCGCATGCTTTCAATGAGAAAATAATCAACAATTTAAAAAATATACATTTCATCAAGTCCCTGTGTTGTTTATACTTACAATCGTAATGTTTGGCGTAAGAAAATTGTTATTTGGTATTATTCTTTGAACTCCAACATCTATTAACGTCACCAAAATCATTACGTTTCACTCACCCTTTATTTTATTTTAAAACAGTAATAGCAAAATATCTTACGCGTTGACCCTATATTTTTATTGCATTAATATTTTCCTTCACTATCTCACTACATGCTCGGAAAATTATAGCAAAATTCACCGTGTTGAATTTCTTTTATTACACAATCTTTATTGCGATATCGCGCGATATTTGCATCAAGTATGGACTTCAGAACGTAGAGAAAAATGACATAAAATCGCAGACTATTAAGTAAATGTTAAAGAAAGACATCATTACAAAGACATACATTTACTGAACATTATAAAATTAAAATGAATGACATCGGATGAAAATTGATAAGAACAGACCGGTTTATTGATAAAAAAGACGCAATTTCGCCACCACCGATAGAGGGCGCTTTGACGTCATAGTAACGCTGTTTATTTATAAAATAATACTGCAGAAGTTAGGCTCACATATTTATATGTTTGCATACCAAAAATCATCAAGATCTGAGATGTTGTCATATTTCGGTCGGAAAGTAGCGAGCTACCTTAAACGTCTTTTAATAATAATAATATTATTATTATTATTATTATTATTATTATTATTATTATTATTATTATTATTATTATTATTATTATTATTATTATTATAAAAAAATAAATAACCGATTAAGCATTAGAATCAAAGTTTTGCCTATGAAAAAGTATCAATGGTTATATTATACATGTATGCAAAGTTATCGTTTATGGATACATGATATTTTCAATTAAATATTGCATTATTTTTAATTAAATTAAGGTCTTAGTATGCTTGTTTCTTCCGCATTAGCACGGACCTTAATTTAAATCCGTGGCATTATTAATGCTTAATGCTTTATTACACAAACGCTATCTAGGCATATCACGCGTTTTCAAAACAACCAATGAGATTAAAGCGTTGGTTTTGTATCATGTGAATCATATCAACCAATCAGAAATAGCGCGGGCGAAATGAAAAAAGAAAAAAACACGATTGGAAATGGATAATAAATAAAATTCAGAATATTGCAAAACAAGGTAGGTTAAAAGGTTTTTTTATCGTTGTAATATCAAAATGCGATCAATAGAATAGTTGAATTTTGTGAACAACAGCTTATTTCAGGGTTAAACTGATTTGTTTTTAGAAAATTTGTACACTGTTTAATCTGTTTCGCTATCCAATATGGCCGCCGGATTAGATAATTAAAGCAGGGATATATCCCTAAATTTAGACTGGGAGGTTACGAGTTTGATTTTTAAACTGTATCTTGTTTAATTAATAATTTGTTTGAAAAATGCAAAAAAGAAAATGAAAAGGGCATTTCTTAAATTTGTTAATCATAACTTCCCCTTAGGGTAAAAAAGACACCACGTTAATACACGGATTTATGTAATATAAATCCGTGGTTAAAATAACGACATTTAAACATCGAAGATGTCAAGGTATAATACAGCCCCTGGACATGGTCTTACGTACTAAAGGATTAATCAGTGTGTGTGACACGACACGACCTATGTATGCTTGATTGGTCAACTGGATTGGACTTTATAATCCTGAGCGATCTCAATTATCACTTAAAATTAGGGGTGCGAAAGATCATATCGACAAGACACACTCAAATTTTATTTATTTTATGTATATTTATTTATTTTAGTCTCATCTGTGTACAATTAAATAAATAAATATGTATGAAATTGATACCGAAAAATAGGTTTTTTTTATTTTATTTATTTTATAATAATAACAATTATAATAACAAAAATTATCAGATGTGACAGATTAACATATTTTAAAAGAAAATTGCTTAGTACTTCTAAAAAATATGTTTATAAATTTTTAGATAAAATTGTCTTTCTCAGTCTTGATAATTTAACGTGCAGAATACTTGTTTTATATTCGCAAATATACAAACTTCCATTATTTGATGCAAACATAAGTCAATTTAAAGACTCCGCTCTTTTCATTTTTATTCACTTTTTTTTTTTAAGTTTCTGTACACATGTTATTATATATTTCTTAATTATATTAACCTACTCTTAAATGAATAAAAATCTGAAAAAAATAGCAAACAAATATTTCTTTTTCATTTAAATCATTATACAATAAGATGAATAAAAAACTTGAAAATATTTGTCAGAATGTTTTATTTACATTAATACAAAGAATGACAGATATATATCTGTATAATTAGATTGTAATATGGCCGACAGGTGGTAAGTTTATCAGTTAACTGTTAATTCACTTACCCTTGGTGTCAAAAGTACGGACACGTATAGCGACCATCCCTATATGATATATATATCAAATGACCTTTTTTATCGTATGTTTGTTATATGCAAATATGATTTGAGGAAAGAATTACATATTTAAAAAGATGTAAGTGTTTTATTGTTCCATTTTGTCAAAAAGTTAAAAGTAGTTTATCTTGCATTATAAGATGAAAAAGTACGATAGATTACAAAAAATACGTATTACATATGATTTACAATATTACTCGATTCAATTGCTTCCTTTATTAAATACAAATGTCTTGACTTTTCTCGTGTCACACATCATATAAGACAAATATCGCTTAAGCTTTGGAATCTATGTTCCTATAATAACATCAAGTGGTCTTTAATATTTATCATGTACCATCCTCAGTACATACATTTAAAATGGTAAATTTGTCAGAAGTTGTAGTTTTAAGCTATATATATTATATATCTTACAAGAACATAATGGTTTCTATGATAACTAATTTACATCAGGTACTACTTCACTAGCATATCTTACGCTTATCAACAACTAACGGAGTTTGTCCTTTTATATAATCTTTATCTTGTAACACTATCTGAAGCACAATTATTTAAACATTCCTTCATCTCTGGAAAACAAAAAGCCTCAATCAAATGTTTCATATATAATCTTTAAAAAGGCTTTCTACTGTGCGAGTTTTTTCTGTCCTCATTATCAAATATAAATTGTAAAATATGTTATATTATATTTTATAATGATAGAGGTATGCGAATAAAAAACCTCACTATAAATAACTAATACATATAAATGCATTTAAACGCAGGGAATTAAATCAACCGAATCTTCAGACATAATTATAAAAATGTTATCTTGTTAGTAATATTACTTTATTTCTTTTCATTATCCATGTTTTGTTAATGCAGTCCAAAGATGTAGTTTTATCATTGTATGACACTTTGCTACTAAATAATGTTAACTTTGATGATTACGTGATGTTTAATTATATTTGAACGTATGTATTTTGTGACCATGTGCATTTTGTACACGTCTTATGTGAATAAACTATCTATCTATAAATGAACAGAAAAATGTCACATAAATTTGAATCCAGCAATATTAACAGCAGATTGAGTAAATGATATATATTCAAGATCAAATAACAAATGTTAATATTGGTCAAATATATATATCGTGTGTTAAATAAATTGTCTTAAATTCTGTTTTTAGCAACATGCAGGGGCTGTAGATATTACTAGATAAATATTTCAGATCAAGTAAGTTTGTTAAAATTGGTCAGGTATATAATATGTATTAAATAAATTGTCAAAAATTATGTTTAAGTAACATATAGGGGTGGTCGCTATACGTTTCCGTACAAAAGATATGTTTATTTTTACATTGATACTAAGCTTAGATCACGAGCCTGTTGTCGGTGTTAGAATTTTAAAACTCGTGAATATAAAATATCGCAACGAACTAGAAGTTTTAGAACGAGTTTGTTTGTATTGTTTTAGCATTAGCAAGATCGAGTTAACTCGCAATTCAGGAAAGACAACTCTTGGTTTTCATTCGATATTCTTGGTTATTTATCTACGTTGTTCAGGATTACCCAGATAATGAGATTTTAAATTGCATATACATGAACTGAGTTTTCAACATTTACATTTGATTTTTTATTGGACATATTAAATATAATTAAAATTTGAATATTTTTTTCTTATTATAATTAAAACTCTTTGTTTAGTTTTTAAGATAAACATTACGCATAAGGCGATATCGCATGGGTCAGTCACAAAGAGGAGACAGTTATTTAATATTTCGTTACACATAAATTAAAACTGTATTGAGCCTTTGTACATCACAAAATTTTCGACATTCCATATTTTGACTTATATTTCACATAAAGCGATATTGTAACACACGCACGCACGAACACACAAAAATACATATCATATGATGATAACTACACATGCACAAAACAGTGAACACGTTTCTACAGTATTAACACTTTCGCACATGTGATCACTTATGAAATATTTTCAATGTGCTCTTTATATTTATTATATATAAGTAATATTATGATTTTTTCAGGACAGTATAAAGCGTGTTTAAATCTTCCAGAAATGCAACTGTGCCCTCTTTACAGCAATTATAGATGAAGCAAAGTATGGTAGCAAGTTATATAGATGTAAGTTCACGTATATTCATTGTTGTACTTTGTGAATAAAATAAGACAATAACACGGAGGTACTGTCTGTAAAGAAGAGTTACCCAGACTCATATATTCCCATCCGTTCTGACAGCATGTGTTTTATTCTTTCTCCAGGCAAAGGCAAAGTCAAATTTCCTTGATTACACGCATTTATTTTGACATGAATAAATGGGGTTAATTATGAATACATTGGTTCTCTTTTATATCTTATTAGAATCAATTCTTAGGTGGAATGATGTCACACTTCATTAATGACGTCAATTAAGGCATTTAAGCATTTTGCTGCGCATTTGAAAATGCTAAAACATCCATACTTTTAATATGCAAAAATCAAGTATATAAAATATAAGAAACAATTCCAACGCACACAATGGTTTAATATAGATGCACTGTGCATGCCATTTTATTTTATTGAATTAGTTTTCTTTTCTAAAACATATTACTGTATCAAAAAGATATGTATTTCTTTACAGTTTAATCACTTTTATATGAGCCGCGTCATGACAAAACCAACATAATGGGTTTGCGACCAGCATGGATCCAGACCAGCCTGCGTATCCGCGCCGTCTGGTCAGGATCCATGCTGTTCGCTATCAGTTTATTTACTTGTTATAGAGTCTGTAAGCGAACAGCATGGATCCTGATCAGACTGCGCGGATGCGTAGGCTGGTCAGGATCCATGTTGGTCGCAAACCCATTATGTTGGTTTTGTCGTGACGCGGCTCATATATGTTAATGATAGTACTTTTTTATTTACTACGTGCGTAAGCGATAAGTACGCCGCTTTGATAATGTGAGAGTGACGTTACATTTTCTTTTGTACATGTACACTAAAGTTAACAACCTTTGTCTGAAAATGTAAAACAGGGTTTTCAGAAGCGAATATAATGTAAGATTAGAAACAGAATTTGAAATGTCTTTATGGCAAAGTTAGTAAAGTCATTAGAATGTCATACACATTAAATTTTATCACAAGTTCGAGTTCACTTTTCCATATATTTTTTGTTATTTTTACATTAGAAATATAAAGGCAGTTTTGTTATGGTATTTAAGCGATAACAGTCAGGGAAGAGTTTCTTCCCTTACCGGATGTGACGTAAATGGGGAATAAAAATATGCATGCCGCATAGAATGTTAGCTTATTGAAAGTTAAATGCATTAATACTGATCGTTCAATTATGAATATAACATGTAATAATTTACGCATGCATACATAAATTTAATATCAAGACAATAGAAAAAATTAAAAAACAAAGATTGAGATTAATTCTCGCTACGGAGTGAAACAGCGAAATTTCAAACTGTGTAGTATGAAGTAGTCATAGTACTTTTGCAGTGCAAGAGTTTTTCGTGCAAACTTAAACTATAGTTGAAACAGCCTGTGCACAGTATCATGCATTCCGTAAAAGTTTGCACCAAATTATTAAATATGGCTAAATATAGCTACATTTAAAACAAAATGAGAAGTTAATAGAAAATAGCACAGTATTTATAATCTTTACAATAAATAATACAAAATTTTCTTACTTGATTGATAATTATAAAGCAATATTTTGGGAAAAATGTGCAATCCGAATCTAGCTGTCTTGTATTGATATTTACCACAACCTTACCTGCATTACGCTGAGAGTTGGTAAATTTGTTGATAATTTGATTAATATAGCTAGCCTGTTTGAATATAATAAACACAATATGATAGCTGTTTTACACCTGGATAGTGGACTTGACCACCTCGTCACTTAATTATTATACTAAACGCACAGTATTTGTGCGCACGTGAAACATATTGCGTTGATACGAAAATGTTTAACGTGCGCACGTAATACTGTCGCATTCGCATGTATTAATCAAAATATTTCCTATGTTATTTAATGCGATTGTCACATATGATACGTATATTTAATTATCTGAATTTGATTTCATACTATCAAATTAATGCTACAGGCAAGGGAAGATATTTTGATTATTTTTGTGAGAATTATCACTTTATTTTTAGTGATGGCACACTGTAAGAGATTCTATTGTCAACTAACCTAGTTAAACAGTCTTAACAATAAAACATATTAATCTACGCTATTGTATATTGAAGGTATTCATTCGTTGCTGTGAAGTTGTGATGAAATAGGTTTTGAAATAATTGAAACTGAAACAAACAATAATCCAAATTTGTTAAGATTTACGTTTTTATATTAATGAAAGGTATAACTGGGTATTCCGCATTTTACTTAACTTGATATCATTGTGCAAACACGGATCTACATATTGAGTAGCAAATAAAGTTGTACTTTCGCATATCTGTACATTTTAAACTTTTTTTTTCAGAACGAATTGATTCCTCCTAACGATGCTAATATACATTATAAAACGATCAAAACGATTACCCCAATACAATGTTATTTTGTACTAATATATTTTTAATCAATAAAATACTCTTTACATAGAACAAAGATACCATTATATTACATGTGTGAAATATATATATTCGAAAAGGTTTTATAACAAAAAATATAACTTATCATCCGTCATAGATTAATCATTTCAAGACATTTAAATCCTGTGTAAATTGTTGCTTATAAATGACATCTTTATCCTAATAATATAAAATAATTTTGAAATTTGCGTAAGAAAAAAAAATGTATATATGTATACGCTTAAATAAAATGCTTGTGTATAGTCTTTTTGAAAGTTGTGATAACTATTTTATGACACTGTTTAAACAGGATTTTAAACTCTCTATTTTCAGATACACACATGCCGAAGAAGATTGTAATATCTGGAGAAAACATTTCCTTCGTCAAGAAATAGACACCATTACACTGGTCTACGTAACATTCCTATTATAGATGATTGATATATTTATGTGCTTTTAAGAACAGTGTTTGAATGTCGAATTTCTGTGAATACGGATTTTTAGTTTTAATGGTTATTATTAAAACTTTCTGTTATAATCAATTTGTGCTATGGACTCATTTAACGTTAACACGAAAAAAAAAATGATATTAATATCTTTAAAATGTTTTATGGGTGTAATATAAGTGGCTCATAAAAATCATTGTTAAGATAAACAGAAAAGAACTTCAAGTTGGCATAGTTTGTTCTAGATTTAAACAACATGCAATTCATAAAGGTTACGGCTTGAAAATATCGAAACATGTACATGTATAATTCGATCTTTGAAGAAAATATCGCGGTGAGGATGTTCTGCACTGTGATACGTATTACATGACTCTGTATCGCAACATACCGGTATATCGCTATTCCGTTGCAACGCTACATTAATGTGTCTCGCTAGAATAAGGCTTACAACAATATATGACTGTTGAAGCGAAGACATGTTTATTTTGTTTAATATATGTATACATATTGAATATATGTTTGAGAAATAATAAATATTTAAGAGTGACTCGATTTGGTTTTTACTTTATTATTTGAAATACTCCAATTGTGAAGATAAAGTTCTTAAGCATATGACTTTACAGTTCCCATTCACAATGTGTAATCAAACATGTTCTATTGTACAAGCCTGCATTTCGGTCATGTATAGGTGTCACTTATATGTAAATGCATGCATTTGATATTATCTGTACCTTCTTTTATCTCAAAAATACAATTCTGTATACCCTGTGTAAAACTAAAAAATGCTATTCCGTATATCCCAAGTATATATTGAAAATACGATTCCGTATATTCCCTGTATATGTAGAAAATACGATTCCGTATATCTTCTGTATATGTAGAAAATACGATTCCGTATATTCCCTGTATATGTAGAAAATACGATTCCGTATATCTTCTGTATATGCAGAATATACGATTCCGTATATCATCTGTATATGTGGAAAATACGATTCCGTATATCCTCTGTATATGTAGAATATACGGTTCCGTATATCCTCTGTAAACGTAGAAAATACGAGTCCGTATATCCTCTGTATGTAGAAAATACAGTCCTGTATATCCCTGGTATATTTATTGTATACTAGGGATAACAACCTTGATAAATTCCGTATACGAGTTTTTATTCTGCGTATACTTCAAAAGTACGAACAAAAATACGTACATGTATATGGGGCAAATACGGAATTCCGTATATGCCTGATGCATATACGGACTTCCCGTATACCCGGTGTTCCCTATACGGACTCGTATACTTGGTCCGTATATTCGACAAATACATCCCATACACGCCCGTATTTGTCAAAAATACGGGACCGTATATTCCCGTATATCAGTATATTTTTCGCAGTGATAGATACAGTACGAACTTAAGACAGTGTTGATTTCACCACAGTTTCATGTTTTATTCTTTTTATTTGTTACGTTTCTATTGACGATTGATTAGTATATATGTTACATATATGTACTTGTATTCAATTTATATTCAGGTCTTTGCAATCAAACTCCTTTTAAAACGTGTATCACAGAACAGCTAAAATCTAAACCGAGTTACCTATGACATAATTAACATGTGCATTTTTGTAATTTATCATTAATTAGAATTACAATTATAAATATTAAATGAAAGAGTTCAAATTATTAATGACTTTTGGCGCAACAATTTTTGAGGTACTTTTATACATTTTTCCATAGTTAAACGCCTAAGTGAAAAGGTCTTCGAATCCTTATTCAATTAATGTTTTCTATAAACCGAAATAATCTACATGTTATGTTCTAAACTATTTACTGTATTTGTTACCTAATAATAAAGCGATATCCTTGAGTTCTTGGAAAATATGCATTTACGAACGTAATTTTGTATAGTTAGATTGGTAACGACAATGTTTTTCTACCAAACAATATATTCAAACGATATAACAATTGATGAATCAGTTTCATTATTGTTGGTGGCTCATTGTTTTTGTATTCTGATACTTAAATTCTATCATCACCAAAGGAATTGTTGAAAATTCAAAGCAGAGCAAATCTTTATTTTAACTTCAGTGTTAATGAATATTACACACACTACGAAAACAACCTAGTATATACCAGTACCACATATTCGTTAGGAATTGTAGCGGCATATAACAAAATATTCTCAGCTGTAACAAATGAAGAAAGTCGATAAAAAGTGAGATGATAAGTGAGTTTGCAAATGTTAGGAATGAACGTACATTATTCATTTAATTACCATTTTTACGCTCTCATGAAAATGCCAATTACTATCATACTCATCGAAAAAGCAGACTTATTATGAACCGGTTTTGATAATAGGTGTATCTCACATTTTGTTCTAGTTTAATGTTTTATTGACATATGAATGATTATTTTGCGAATCATTTAAATTTGCAGTTAATTATTTTAAATGCCGCAATAGATCAAAAGTGATTAACTTTGTCGGGCCACTTTTAATCTATAGGTATATACTTGTAGCAAATTTCCGAGTTAAAACGATATCATACCAATTAGGGACACTCAATAACATTGATATGTTCTTATGATTTTAAGTTTCGTAATACATGCAAATATATTAAAACAAATACTATAATATGATAAGATCATATCTAAGTTAAATGTCCATTTCTAAGTATATAATATAAGTAATCTATATTGAATATGTTTCAACAATTAAAAATAAAAGACAATTTGGCGTAATCGCAAGAAGATACTGACGTCAGTTATTGAACTTTTGATTTTATAGCTCATTTATTTAGGTAAAGAAAACAATATATTTGACTGTAGTTACAGGTGTAACATATGCAATAATGGTATATTCATAAATTTTCTGTTAACAGTATATCTGATAACAGATAAAGAATAAGATTAAATATTTACGAAAATTTGTACTAACTGTATAACAAATGTACATTTTTATTTAAGTGACATATGCGGAAACTAATTCCTTTTTTAGTTTATCAAAACTGTTTTATCTTGACACCATTTTGTTTTGTATATCAAAGGGCACTGACATTAAGAAGAATTGTAATATTGTGTACAAGTTATAAATTGGACCGTTATACATAAATGTAGATTATATCGATTTTACTTTATAATTTTTTCTGTTGTTTTTATATTTATTTATCTAACAGGTTCTGCGCCCAAAACACTTAGTACAAACATGTATATATTGTGCTATTTGATACAAAGAAAGATATATTCAGATCGTACTAAAATATTCACATTGCATTATATATTGCAGTATTATTTTGCTTGACAATTCTTGACAAGTCTTACCGTGTGTCTATTTTAATGGAAAGGTGACAAACTTACAACCTATTCCCGCTATTTTGACATTTATCTCACAAAGACATCAGTATAACAGTCAGTACGTTAAACTTGACAGAGAGTGGTATAATGGTGTATGATGAGGAACAAGATTTAGATTAATTTAAATGGGAAAATCAAGAGATCATGATATAAAGTAATTCTTGTATCAGCGACGTGTATCTTTCATAAAGAAAACGTATGGCACCGTGCTTTTATAATCTTTTTCAATGTATACATAATTTGGATTTATAGCAATAACAGTACGTATGCCGTGTAAAAAACAACTTGAAATAGCTTCTCAATTAAAAAAGCATATGAAAAAAATATTTATTTAACACGAAGAAGGATCAATCGCAGACGCGCAAACCAAGACAGATGTAAAAGAAACAATTCTATATGTAGTATTTCAAATAAAAAATGCGTCTAGAAAATATCTCTTTTTAAGGCTTAAATTTACAAACTATTGTAATTTTGTGTTTCTCGGCTTGTTGTGTTAATGACTAAAGTTAGACAAATATATGACAAATATAAATGGAGGTGAAATTAAATTAAAAAAATATGCTCTATAAATGTCACGTATTATAACAATTCATGTCATTTAGATACAATGTTATGTCATTAATTTTTCACCTGTAGCAAACCTTGTGTGTGGGTCAAAAAGGCTCCTGTTCTTGTTTGTCGTTTCAATTAAAATGAAATTAAATAAGTTCATGTTTTCATGACGGTATATAAAACATATCTTTAATAAAAACTTAACTTGCATATACATGTATTCATTTTAACTGCTTTTCTTTTCAGTAAGGTTTCTTTTAATTAAAAGAAATGGAAATGTTCCTTTTAAATTGAAATTAAACTTTAATAAAAAAAGAGAAAAAGTCAACAAAAAATATACTACCTTAATTGAAAATGACCTATTCCACCATACAAAATGACCCTTTTTTCAAGTGGATTTTTTGCTCCATGTCAGCAAACTGTGCGGGTTAAACAGTTTCATAATACGCAAAAATCCAGTTACAAAATTTGATATATAATAGTGTAAAGGTGCATAATCTTTCATTTATTAAGTTATAATTGTTTTTTGTTTTAATTAAATTGCACATTTCAACACATACCAGTGGATTTAATTGTATTACAAACAATGTCAAAAGGATTATAAATGTCGTGTTTTTGTTGTTTTTTGTTTTAGATAATCGTTGGTGAATCGGAAAAATTGTAACTAATCTAAAAAGTAAACATGTAGTATCTGTTTGGAAAAAAACCCCAAAAAAACAAAAACAAACAAACAAACAAACAAAAACAAAACAAACTAACTCACACACAAACAACTTGAAACCAAACAGTATTTTTTAAAATCGTTTCATTCATTTTGGTTTTAAGTAGGAAAAGTTATTATTTTAAAATGTGCAACAAATATTTGAAAGAATTACTATACATACTTTACGGCTCTCGATAAAATTATTATTTTCTTATAAATTACATTAAATTATTTTGCTGAATTAAATATATTACTTTACATCATGCAACATCACTGTCACCATTGTAAACACCGATTTGTAAAGTGAAGTTTGTAAAACTAAGCATCGGTTGATTTAACGAAAACAACAATGAAACAAGCAAAACATACTAAATAAAGCAAAACATCAATTATGCATTGTTATCTACTTGATAACGTTCCTCAAAATTGCTGCATACATTTATACCGGCATCGTACAGCCTATTGAATTCGTAGTTATGATTTAAAACGTATCAAAATTCAGAGA